CGCAACTGCGGGATGGACCTGGCTGTCAATCAGGCAAAGCTCAGTGAGGAACGCAGGCGGCGGATCTGCAATGATCAGCAATTCTTTCGGCGAGGAATTTGGCTGGCAGGCCAGAAGGATTTCGGCGAGAAATCCAACGGGCAGGCCTACTAATTTTCGGCGAGTTCCTCCGCGAGGGGCTCTCCCAATAGTCAGGATGTCGGCGAGCAAGCGGCTTGGCTGGCTGCGAAGCACGAAAATCTCCAAAAAGTCGGCCAGACCCCCCTCTCAAGGAGAGCCCCTTTGCGAGGGCCTCTCCAAAAGCAGGGCTTGGTGGAACTGGGCCTTAAGGAGAGATTTTAATGCTTCGCAGCCAGCCAAGCCGCTCAGCGCAACTCGCCGAGATTGCTCGCTGAGATCCTGACTTTTGGAAGAGCCCCTCGCGGAGGAACTCGCCGAAAATTATTAAGCCTGCCCGTTGGATTTCTCGCCGAAAACTTTCTGGCCTGCCAGCCAAATTCCTCGCCGAAAGAATTGCTGATCATTGCAGATCCGCCGCCTGCGTTCCTCACTGAGCTTTGCCTGATTGACAGCCAGGTCCATCCCGCAGTTGCGAGCACACTGGAGCCCCTGTGCATGCCTTAGCCAGCAACGCAATCAAGAACTCTCATCCCGCCAGACGGCCCATGGGATTTGAATGGCCGGCAAAGTAAAGCCATGACACATCTAAGTCTTGTTTCGACCAAACAACCAACCTGGCGAAACAACCAAGTTCTGCGAATGTTTTTACACACACACACCCAGAGGCGGGAGTGTCTTAAAATAGGGGACCCCAAGCAAATGTGGTTCCCTTTGTTTTTCCTTATGCAAGTTAACCCAAAAAGGGTACCCTCAAACAAAAGACACATCATTGTGTTATTTCCTGAACATGGTAGGGACTCTTCCTACATCCAGTTCATTCTTCCGTGAAATGTGGTCACAACAGGCGGCTGCAAACATCTTTCATCCAAACGTGTGCTGCGCGCTAGCGCTAGTTAGGGACCCTTCAAAAGGGGGTTGGTTTTGACGGGAAACCTAAGGATACCACTATTTTGCGAACCTTGGATTGGTGGTTTACGGGTGCACTCTGGGTGCGGGCTCCCTGTCGACGGATCAATGGGCTTTTTGCCCCGAGAACGGATCTCAAACGGGAAGCCGGATCAAAGCCGGGTTTAAGTCAATCGGTCAACGTGATGTTCCCGCTTTCCATCCAGCCACGGAAAGAAGCAAAATAAGACCAAAAATGCATTCCAGCACCCCAAACAACTTTTTCCAAAATGTCCCAAATTTGCTGGGTACTGTCAGAAAAGCAGTGGCTTGCGGGTGTTCGATCCTTGGGGTCCCCCTCCATCGCCACCCACAGGGTGTCCGGTGATCGGACGTCCGAAGTAAACCCGAGGCCGGCTCCTTGGCCAAGGCCTCCAAGAAAAAAACCAAACGGGCGTACGGATGTTCCACCAGGAAAGTGGGGAAATGGGTTTGGGTCGAAATTAACTATGGCTGTGGGTCAAAAATAGGTACCCTAAAGGGAGCCCTGGTAAATGAAACCAAGGACTAAAACCTGCGGTCCCCCAATGGTTTCATTTTGACCCATACCCATGTGGAGGTGGTGGTCCTTGTTTCCGTTTACCAGGGTTTCATGTTCAATATATGTATCAATGGAGGTCCCTTTCCCCTTCAATGGAGGGTCGAGTGATTCGTGTGTGTTTCCTTCAGGGGGCTATAAAAATGGTGTTGGTTTCCTGTTGCTTTCCCTTTAACCCCGCAAACTTATGACGCCCGTGCACCTGGTTTAGAAGGGGGCATGCAAAGCTTCGTAACTTGGCTGATTGCCATTGATGCCGGATGTGCGTGGATGTAAATGTCGATGGCTCTGAGCGAGGATGCAACGATGAACAACCTATGCACTAATTCCTCAGCCAGAAACAGCCCATCATTCATACAAATACTGCCAAGACCCTTTCAACGTGAACACACGCACACACAGAGCATGCAAAGACATGACCATGAATGTACGTGCCCAGGTGAGTAAAAATGGGTGGCCCATTCTTAACGAATGAGTTACTGAGAATGTTTAATGGACACCGTTTGCTTTGCAGAGTGCTGTGTATCGAAGATTCTGGTGATGCAGCTGGGAACAAATACCTACAAATATACAATGTATGGACGGAAATAATCCTGTAAGATCTGGCATCATCCTCGATGATGCAACCACTATTAATATGGTCACTTTTTGTTCTGGGGTAGTGAAGGCCATCTCGGATCATCTTGAAGCCGTGAAATTGAATACAAACAAAATCAGGTTCTGTTTCATCCTTACTTGGTCTGCCCTATATAAATATTGGCTTGGGGAGGCACCCGAGTTTTGTTTAATCCAACGCATGTTCAATAATATCCCTTTGGAATAAATGTCTTTTCACCTCCACTCCAAAACCCATACCCAAAACCCATTCCTCCAAAACCTCTTCACCCTAAAATATAAATCAATGTCCTTCTTTGGTTTTGAAGAGAATAAATCCAAACGACACCTTTCTGGAGGCCTCGTAACAATAAAACTCCCAGAAAAGCACCAATGGGTGGTTGCCTTTGAGCTCCTGAAACCCCAACAAACCAGCAAAAAGAGTATTCTTAAACACAGAGCCATTTGCAGTGCTGTCTGACACGACTTTTCAAGACGCTGAAGAACTTCTATCTATCGGGCCTTACCACAGACCAGGATACTGTGGATGCACGAACTCCTGCACCACCAAAGATACCCTGGAAAAATCCGATTCCCCAACGCAACTACCCAACGTTCTGGCCACCATCCTCACGACTCGCGACTTTCCAGTGGACAACTTGGGGGTGGGATGGCAAGATGGCCACACTCAGCGCCCACCTCTCCAGCGGCACCAGGGGAAAATTATCCGATGAAGGAATCCTCAAGAAATCGGCCATTTAAAGTTTCTGGAAATCGCCCGGTTCTTTTTTACTTGAAACTGAAGCCCACACTCAGCGCGCAATTGCCCCCCCCCGGTTTTGCAAAAAAAACATCCGAGAAAAAAAAGCTAAGATTAAAAAACAGCTGTGTTTTTGTTTGCATTCCCCCCCCCCCCCCCCGTTTTTTCCCGCGCCGAGTTCCCCCCGGGCCTTCCGCATCTCCGCGCCGGCCTGGGCCTTGGCCTCCGCCGCGGAGGCGTCCTTCCGCCGCGCCTCCGCCTGCGCCTCGCGAAGGCGCCAGCGCTCGGTCGCGCGGCCCCCCCGCCCCCCCGAAAGCTGACTTTTGGGCGGGGAAAACGGCGAGCCATGAGCCAGTTTTGTTGGGTTTTGGCTCAGGAGTCAGTTTCTGCTGCGACCTTGGGGTTTTCAACAAATGGAACCCGACCAACTAAACTTGACTCTAAGGTGGCTGCCACTAGCTTCATTGAAGTGGCCTTCTCAAAAATGCCGAGTTAAATGGTGAATTAAAAGGGAACCATCTCCAAAACAGAAGGGTACGTGTATGTATTTTGAGACCCCTTCAAAATGCTCACTTTGAGAGACCTTGCAGTACCCGCAAACAGCTACCCCTAGGAGAAAATTGATGTACGAAAGGAATATCGCCCATTTCAGTGGCCTTTTTATTGTTCAAACTCTTCACACCAAAAACTGTTGGTTTTGACTTCCACAACACCACAACTCAGGGGAAAACGGAGTACAAAATCTTTGGGGCTAGAGGTTTTAGAGGTAGTGGATACCATCTTCAAGCTGAAAGTAACATCGGAAGGTACATGGCTGTGTGTTTTGAGGGTGACCTTTTCACATGTCAGAGGAAAACCATCGGCAAAAACCACAATTTTGGGGATCACCCTATTGCAACATACTCACATCATCAGCGCACTGTGGATGGATGCACCACTTGGGATGGATGAAGCACTATGAAAGTGGTTGATAAACCACCTTTCAACCGGTGCAGGATTTTGTCAACTCAGGAACAGCCACTTCCGCGAGGTGGTAGCACAGCGCTATGCAAGATTCGATGCAATACCGCCTGAGCAAAAAGGTCGATCGCGTGTTGTAGGTTTGTTGGAGTTGCCATTTTGCTTTGTGTTTTTGAGGGTACCCCTGACTGGTGATTGAAAGGGAAGCCAGACACAAAACCACCGTTTAGGGGGGTCCCCTAAAAACAAATATAGGGGGTGACACTAAGATGGCACTCTGGAACCCGACCAAATGACGCGCAGTTTGTCTTGCAGCTCGTTTTCGATTCTTGGGTGTGCCATCTTAGCGACACCATTTTCAGTTTCGTCGGACTGGCGATACTAAATTGAGTACTGGCAAGACTACAATTAGTGCTGGCAATACAGAATTAATACTGGATTACTGGCAATTCAAAAACCTGTATGATACTAAATTTAGTTCTGGCAACAGTAAAGTTAGTACTGGCAATACTGAGTGCGCATTGGCACGGCAATACTAAATTTACCCCTGGCAACACTAAATTCATTCTTGGCAATACTAAAATTACCCACAGCCCCCGAGGTTTGCCGTCACCCCCTAATCCACGCTTGTCCTGCCCATGCCCAGGTGACTCGAGTTCCTGCAGCACGTGGTTCAAGTATGGCACCCTTTACTAGTCAAGTAGCAGAACTCGTGCAGCCATATTTGACACGTGGTGACCTCCGTTCTCTTCAGAACGTAGGGCCGTGGTACCACGAGGGCGTGGGTGGCAGGCAGGTTTAGGGTTTTAGGTTTAGGGTTTAGGTTTCGGTTTGGGGCTTCATGGTTTTTAGGGTTTAGGTTTAGGGTTTTACGGTTTTTGGGATTTAGGTTTAGGGTCTTTAGGGTTTAGGTTTAGGGTTTTTAGATTTTAGGTTTAGGATTTTTTTGGTTTTGGTTTAGTTTTTTTTGGTTTTGGTTGAGGGTTTTTAGGGTTGAGGTTGAGGGTTTTTAGGGTTCTTAGTTTTTAGGGTTTTGGTTTAGGTTACTTGGACCCCTGCAGGCTGGCTGCTTCCTTGGCGGAGGCGGACTGCGAGTTTTGGCAGTCAGTGCAAGCTCGCAAGGAGGACTGGGACTTCTGGCTGGCACTGCAGGCGCGCAGGCAAGCAGAGCGGCAGGCGCCTAGACCTAGACGGGTGAACAGAGCTCGCTTCAAGATCCCGGCGGAGCCGTGATGGTTCGTGTCAGCGACAAGGCGAAGCTCACTGCTAGCACTTCAAAGCGTCCGCATGCTGCTGTGTACGGCAAGAAGCCCGTTCTGAACTCCAAGTTCAAAAAGAGGGGGATCGCCTACTCTCGCAAGGTGCGGGGTCAGGTGTGCAATCGCACCTTGCGCCGCTTGGAGCAGCCGTCCTACCAGGAGGTCATGTTGCTCACGCAGGCCAAGGCGAAGGCGTTCCTCAAGCAGCACGGGGTGCTGCCTGCCAACAAGCAGACCTTCTTCTGCTGGTCTTGCGGGGAGCAGCTCCACATGAAGGAGGGTGTGGGCAGATGCAACCGACGCAAGTGCGACAACAAGTCTCGCTTGCACGATACTGCCCACGTGTACACCCCTCTGGCATCGCACGCGAGAGCGGGGTATGAGGCGGACTATGTGTGCTTCTTGCGGTGCGCTTACATGCTGGGTTGCAAGATTCCAGCAGACGCTGGGGTTCACATGGTGAGGCGGCCGGATGAGACGCCAAGAGCTGCTGAGCACAGGCTTTACAGGTACACTCAAGGGATGAAGGTTGCCCTTGCCTACGATCAGCTCTTGTACAGCAGAGACTTGGTGTTCAAGGACGAGATTGTTGAGCCGGACTCTGGCCGCATGGGCAGTAAGAAGACAAGCACAGAGGACGCCACCAAGAAGGAGCATCAGGGCAGGACTTTGGTGCTGAAAGGCCGATCTTCGAAAAAGTGGGGCAGCTTCGCGCTCAGGACAAGCATATCGCGCAAAGGGCGTGGCATGGGCACAGAGAGGAAGGAGGAGGTGGCCCCGGTGCTTCAGCGTAGCATTGGGCGCGGCGTCGTCCTGGCCGCGGACGGGGCCAAGGCTTGGAAGTCAGTGGGTGACTCCATGAACACTCCTACATTGCCGGGTGTCAACCACATGAAGAAGATCTTCACGCCGCTGAGCAGGCTGCGCAAGAAGACTATGCCACCTGCTGCCGCTCGCACCTTGTCCCGCGCTAGCAGCACGAAGGTTCCGACTGCTCAGGAAGGGCCGAGGCACTTCTGGGCTGCAGGCGGCGACAATGCCGCGGAATCTTGCCTGGGGCACATCAAGCAGACCATGCGACGCCTCGGTTTTGCGGGCCGAGGGAACCCGACCAAGAAAGAGACCAAGTCCGTCCAAGCCCTCGCGGCCTCTGCGTTGCTGCGCAGCGCAGGGCTGGTGCACGTTTTGGAATCTTTGAAGCAGTATAGGCTTGCTTTGTCCGAAGGACGCATAAAGCAGCCGCCGCCTCTAGCGTTCGATGAGCCGAGCTGCGCTTGGCTTTACGAATCGTGACATATTAACAGCAGTGGCAGCGCAGACAAAATGCTTCAGGCGGGTCCGAGCTTCGTGATCTCCGGGTCTTGGTGTTGGGGCGTTGGTTCCGGGCGCCGGCAAACCTCAGGGGCTGGCCGTAAAATTAGTACTGGCAATACTAAGTTGGTATTCGAAGGTCTTGTGTTTGCCGCCCGCGTGCAACTCCCTTTTTGGGCAACCCGTGTTACACCTGAAAGTAGATGCCAAACCAAGATGGTTTGGAATCGTGCCATTGGCGCCATCTACTTTCACCCGATCCTTTCCAGCAGAGTCCGTGTCAATTTGCCGAGCACACCCCAAGAAAAACATCAAGAGACACACACAAAACAGGAATCTCTCCCTTTTGGTGTTGCCTCCACCCCGCGCCTTTTTTGGGGGGTTCCTTCAGTGAGCCTGGAGGTCCAGGATCCGAACCGGAAAACAACTTTTCCCGCGCCTGGCGGCGCTGAGCGCTCCTGGCCGCCCACTGCTTCTCCAGCTCCTTCTGGCGCGCGACTTCCAGCTCCTCGGGCCCGAGGACGCGAGTCACGCGAGTCACGCGACGGATGTGCTGCTTGCGCCCAGGGCGACACCGTGCAACCGTGCGACCGTGCAACCCGCACGTGGGGGACAAAAAAGAGCGGCCAAGCCTCAGGTAGTCTTGCTGATTTGCTTGAAGTGGGTTTGTTGCTTGTGATGCTTTTGCTTTTTGCTGCTCTTCCTGATCCATCAATTTGATAACGCCTTGATTCAGTTCGTCGGCAAACGCAGATTGGGGGCAACGTCGGCCAATCAGATTTGGTTCTTTTGCTTGCGTCCTCTCACCTTTCCTCTCCGACAAGAAAGTCCTGGAGGGACCCAAGTGTGTGGTTTGTGATTGGCCCTTTGAAACCAACCTGAACAGGGCACCGGTTTCACGGTCAGAAACTCGAACAATGTCGTGAGAATGGTCTTCTTGCAGCTTGTCCTGTCATGGCATTGCCGCTCCTTTCTTCCGGTCCAAACTTCGCTGAAACTTGGATGGTCTGGGCTCTCTCAAAGCAAATTTCCGCATCAGGATCGATGACAATAAGAGGCTTCACGATGGCACCAACGATTCTTCTGGAAGAGCCTAGCCGCAATGCACAATTGCAGTCCTCTGCGTTTCTCACGGCCTCCAAAATGGCCGTAAAAGCTGCATGCGGCTTTGAAATGCCTAAACATCATGCATGTTGATAACCATGTTGATATGGATGTCCATGTTCTTTAGAGTGAACCGGCAACTTAGCTTGGTAGCTACCACCCAAGTGAAGAGCTTCGCTTCAGCCTCTGAAAGAAAGGGTGCTTCACGTCTACTCTCTTCTTCGGCACGCAGGCCTCCCCCAAAGAACATCAATCTGAGCCATGAGACTATAGCCGAGCCATCAACACAAGCCGGTGAGACCATGCTATCCTCTCGACTAAGCAAACACAGACACACACACAACGGTGGTGATGGCGGAGACAGCGACCAAATGCAAACACCTTCTCCTTAGGAAAGCCAGGAAAGAAGACGCTTTGTTTCAACAGAAACCAAGGGATTCCTCATTTGCTCAGGGGATTCCTGATTTTCACAGGGGACTCCGCCCTTCAAAAAGGGCACACCCTTCCCCCGAATACCCAGGTTTCTGGAGGCAAGCGCATCTGTCCATAGATTCTGCTGCTTCCTGTGGTCCCTGTTGTCCTGCCCTGGTAGAAAAACGAATTGGAACCCTTGCTTGGGGGAAATTAATTAAGTGGGTCTACCAAGCAAAAGGTAAAACAAGTGCCGCTGAACTGGGTAAAAAACATCCTAAAAAGATGGCCGCCTCACAAAGGGGAAGCTCACAAGGGCCTGCCTCATGAATATTAACTAGTTCCAGGATCCATGTCGCGCCTTTTGAGGGTGCCCTTCTTGTCAAAGGACCCACCAAAGAAACCATCCATTTCGGGGGAGGGGGTCCATATTTGACAGACCCAGCACCAAACGCAAAGCAAACCCGACAGTGAGCATCCCAATTTTGCCTTGTCCAGCCAGGCTTCCCTAGGCACTGGGCCCCCTGGGCCCCCTGGGCCCCCTGGCACGCTGGCGCTTCTGCTCCCGCGCCTCGAAGGCGCCCGCGAGGGCGCTGACCTGGGATAGAAACGTGGCTCGTTGGCCGCTGTGAGGGGAAACCGATTGAAAACCGATGGAAAACGGTCCATTTTGGGGGAGGCCAAGGAACACCGCAAGAACACGCGCCGTTTTGGCGGGACACCAAAAAGGAAAGCCGCAAAAAATCCAAGAAGATGTTGGGGGGGTCCAACGTTTTAAAATGACACACCCACGATTGTGTCCCAAGCATGGCTTCGGTGTCCCCTTTGGTTGTCTCTTAGGGCAATATGGGGGTGTGTTTCTGCAAGGGTACCCTGGTGGCTGCTTTCAAGGGAAACCAAAGGAACACCACCATTCTGGGGAGTCCCCAAGTATATCTTTGACACATACCCGGATCTCGTGCGAATGTCAAAGGCATGCATGCTCTGAACATTGCTGTTGTAAGGGAACCTGATTTACCCTAATCACAACTTACCATGGTTATACGGTCAAGTATGCCTGCCCACTTCCTAAGTGGATTGGCCAAAAAAGCGGCTTTGTTTACCACCAAAGACTGTCTTTCGAAATCTAAAGTCCAGGAAATCAGCGAATGGGATGTTCGTTCTTCCAAACACTAAAACCATCGGAGCCCCGATTCCTGTCCCCAAAAGACGTACGCAGCCGAGATCTCAGTCCCTCACTGGTAAACTCTTTCGGTCCACTCACATCAAACTCAAAAGGGCGAAACGAGAAAACAAATGCTCCGATTAAAAACCTGATTTCTTCCATTTGCTTAAGCACCGGGACATATTTGCAGTAGTGATAGGTTCCGTTTAAAACCAACCAGAGAAAACAACATATTATACATATTCATTTCAGCAAATGGAGAGGATAGGAACCCTCCGTGACCCTCCCATCCGAAAAGAAAGATGCCTCGGCATAGCAGGGCCACCAGCTCGGCACGGCCCAAAGCAGCAAACATCTCGGACAACCTTTGGCTTTTGGACTGGCTCCCTTTCCTGCCAGCATCCCTTTGGTAATTTTACCCTCCCATTCCCACCATGGCACATCTTTACCTAGCTACCTTATCTTTGAGACTGGCCCTTTGGTGACTACCCTCCCATTTCCATTTTTATATCATATATGGCACATCTATGTGGAAACATAGCGTCGCAAACCCCTGGAGCCATGCCACCGATCCGGACATCCCCAGGCGGCCAAGGGGCGTCCAAGTCCTCCATCTTTGTGCACTCCACCGGGCAGAGCTCCTTCAAGGTGCTGCCGCCCGTAAACCTCAGACGCTCGCCTCCGAAAAGGGGGGGAATGCTCTGTTTGGGGTGGTTTCTTAAGGAAAGCAAAATGGATTGCCCCATTTGCTTTTGTGGGAGTCCCATATTTTTCGGCACATCTGGTGGCGCTTTGCCCTCGAAGCCTGTGATACCAACGGACTTGACTGTTTCACTTTCAAGAAACCAGGCTCCCTTTGTATATTACAGACCTGGGGTTCCGAACCCCCATGCACCAAACTGGCGCAAGTCCACCCAATGTAAAAACCAAACTGTTGAAGCACAGTAAACAGCAAGACTCGGCCAAAGCAAGGAAGCAGCACAAACTGCACTCAAAGAGGACAAGCCTGCGGGCACTATCAGTCTTCCCTCAAGGGTCAGACGACATTCGAAAGGTTTCTTTTCTGATAGAGGGCAATTGGCCCTCAAATGTCACCGTGTTGACTATGTCCTTTCACTTGCTTTATTCGGGTCAGTTGATTCGTTGCAGTCATTATATGTTTCTACTGACATGTGCTGCATTCGATTGTTCTCCGCCATCTTCTTCCTTTGGTTCTGTACGGGTCGTCTGGTGGCATCCGCCGCCTTACAGGGCCATGTTCAGGCTCGCGGGGCCGAGTGCCGACCAAACCTGAACCCTGGACCCTGGCCTTGGATCGATCCGCACAAATGTCTGCAATACGCTCAAATGGGGTGTGTGCTTGTTGGGGGTGCCCTTTTGGGGGGTTGGTTGAAAGGAACACCAAAAGGGACAACACCAATTTGGTGTTGTTATGCATTATTTGGAACAAACCCAAATAGGAATTGAGGGCGAACCAGGCGTAAAAAGGCCCTTTGCCATGAGTGAGCTCATTCCCCCCATAGGCGAGCGTGTTGTGATGTATCCAGATGGATCACCTCCGTTTGCACCATGGCCATTGGCTTCAGAAAGGCAACAGTAAGGCAGCAAGGCAAGGAGCTATGCTTTACGGAGTTCTACTTATTTAGCACCTAAACCTGAATACAAGCAGCAAGCAGTGATAAACCATATAGCCAACAGCTGTAGACGCAAAAGAGCCCCTTGGCGTAGAACTCCGGATGTTCGAGCTATCGTTCCAAAGAAGGCAGTCAACTCAATCCCGGCAGCCCCTAGCTCAAACATGGGGTAGGAGCCCGACTTAGATTTCAACGGGTCCCAAAAACGAATCGTTCAGACGGAAGATAAGTGCGGGTGACAGCCCCTGGATCCCTTCTCTCCAAGGAAAGCCTTGGCAACTTGGGAGAACCTACGCTTGGCTTGACGGTTCCCGGATGTCCAAGCTCAATCTATGGTTTCCACGACCAAACCCCGAGGAATTAGTGGAATATACAACCACGCAACTATATAGAGGATACATATTCCACTTTCTCATGGGGGGTTAGTGGTTTGGAGGCAGTACTGGGTCCCTTAAAGTGAACATGTTTGAAGGGGTCTCACAATTTCTATTGGAGGTGGTTTCCCTTTGAACCACCCTTTGGCTCGGGAGATTCATTTTGAGGTTTTTTGAATGGGCCTAGTGGCAACCGTCTTGGCCAGGCTTTGGGGAATGAACCGGGGATTCTTTCAGGAAACCATGGGGTCATTCCCAGGGCTCATTCCATGTTGATTTCCTAGGTCCTCCAGTAGAGAGGGTAGAATAAGGGCACCTTTCTTTTTCTTCTGTAGTCTATTTTAGAAGGGGGAACCCTCCCCGGAGAAAAAAAAGAAAAGCAAAAGGGCACTACCGAGGGATCTAGTTTCTCATTC